TCTCATATCTGCAAATGTGATGAAAAATCTCTGAAGTTTTGGCTATATAAAAACATTTCAAAAATGTTGCTAATAATGATTGTTTCTTTGTTGATTTTAGAGAAGTGTGGGCAAAAACAGTCGTTTTTATAACTTCTAAAGAGTAATAAAGCAAGGGCCATAGAAATATGTGGAATAACTGAAATTTTCTACGAGCTCATAACTTTAATCTCTTTCAATGATGTGATTTTGCCAAACTTCCAGTTTTTGTTGAGGTTTATATTATTTACTTATCTGTAATACAGCTGCTGCATGAGCTGCTGCTGCATCAATACAGCTGCTGCACGAGCTGCACCTGCAGCTATTACATATATTTCAGTAACCTGCCAAAGAAAAGCTCCAAGCTGACATTAAATATATCTACTCTCCAAACCTGGACTAAAGCTTCCTCCCATGTTTCTAGTGAGGAAATATCTACCTACTCTCTGAACCGCAATTAGGTGGATTTTTGAGCCATGATTTTATGCATTTGCAAGCCATGATTCCATTTCTTTTGAGTGATAAATTTGATATTCCAGCCATGAAGAGCCATTTATGAGTCACAAACTTAATTATTAATTTAATTAATTAATTAATTAAACTTATGAGTCACAAAGTCCTGTGAATGTGTTTCTCCAAATCTCAAATTTTACCTTAAAAACAGCAACAAAAACATTTATCTTTACTTTAGAAGCAACTGAACACGCGATAATGCAGTTTGACATGACCGCAACTATGCAATCTCCAACAAAATGTTTTGTGTTGACTCTTCATGCAGGATATTTTGGTGGGAGTGTAGTAGTAAAAGTACCACTTCGGAAGTTGAAAATTTTGTGAAATTACATTTTTGTGAACCGCAGATTTCTTTAAACAAATAAAAATACATTACATTAGATCTGCAAAATTTCATACCTACAAGAATTAGTCATGTTTGGAGTCATGATATTCCTGCTTGCAACTTCATGAATTATCTCCTATATACTTAATTATTACCAAAAGTATATGATCAAGCAGTGATATTCTGTAATTATAAAATACATTTCACTTAGGAGCTGCAAGGTTCGAGATCTTTAGTAATAGCAACAAGGCATTATAATTAATTTCATGTCAGACAACAATTAGTATTATTCATTTTGATATACTAACTCAATATCCCATTTAATTGAATACTTGTCCTAATGCCCTTATCAAAGACGTAGGGTAACTTGATGAAATGCCAATAACTGTTTATTTTAAATTGACATTATATTAATGAAGCATATTGTTAGTGCTTGGAAATATTTTCAAGGCTCCAATATTTATTTATATTATTCAACTCTTGAACCAAAGTCAGCTCATTCATAGGCAAGTTTCAAGATATTTCTAACCTACTTCCTATCATACCACAACTTGATTTTTTGAGCTATAAGTTTATCAATTTTGCATACATATAAAATTTGTTAGTCATTTTTGTGGACTCCGGGGAAAAAGTTCCAGGCTTTGTAATCATTTTCTTCAGTTGAACTACTATCAATGGCACTATGAGCTGCCACTCACCATACACTGCATAACTTGCTGCTCGCCAATGAAACACACATTCAACTAATCAGAAATACAAATTTTAGGCTTCAATTACCATATATATATGTAAGAAATTGTTTTATCTTGCTATGAATTCGTGCTTCAGTTTTGTTTGAAAAATAGAAAATTTCTATTGAAGGCCACCAGCCAGTGATATAAGTGACATTGACATTAAACAAATAAAACTATTCAGAACTACAATTTGTGGGGTTAAGTTACCACATATATATATATGTAAGAAATTGTTTTATCTTGCTAAGAATTTGTGTTTGAGTTTTGTTTGAAAAATAGATAATTTCTATAGAGGATCACCAGCCAGTGACATGACATTGACATTAGGGTCTTTATCTCTATAAAAAAATTAGCCCTAAGCTTCTCAAATAAGTGATGTCACATCTTTCCTTTACTTGTGCTTGTGGAGCAAATACTCGTAAATTCTTTGTGATTGTGAAAATCCATCACTTTACTCATTAATATAAATATTGCTGTGACAATATGCTTCACCAGCATCACTTGCAGAAGGAGGATTCAAAGAAATTCAAAATTTCCCACTATCTGCAATTTTTTCTGCATGCATGCTTTCTAAATCCAAATTTATGTATGTAAAAATTACTTATGTCTATACCGTATATGCCTGCAAAATTAATAAGTTAATTGCATTTTGATTTTAAGATATAATGTGTATATGCACAAACATCCAAATTTTATCTTGTTTGTCATTTGCTATGATTAATGATAGTGGGCATGTCTGATAACCACAGCATCTGCTACTCCTCCCAGGGTGCCCCTACCCAGAATTGCTTATCTTAGCAATTGTCAAGTGTTCGTCGGCTGCCAAGTGTGTTGATTTGTTAAGCAAAGAATTGCAGTTATCATTCTTATTGATTTTTAGAAGGCTGAGATCCACGATAGTAGCCATATACTCAGGACATATCTTAACAGTTGCCGGTCGCGCACGCTATTGTAGAATTGTTCCTCTTACTCCTGACACTTCTTTCAGGCTGCACTGTCCTTTGATACAACTTCGCTATGATTCAATTTACGTTAGGTTTCACTGCAATAATTATTGGTAAGCACATTATGCCATGTAGAATGCCGCTACGAGATCAAAATACTGACGTGGATTTGTAGCATCTAGATGTAATTAATAATTGTGTAATAATAATTCAGATTAGAACAAAATTAACAATTACATTTATCGCTAAAAACGTAAACGTCACAACCGTGAACGCAGCATTTAGTTTAGTACTTAGACCGACCTTCTCTGTTTATGTACATTGCTCAACAACCTCTCATTAGAGGTTTCAATACATGTAATCAAAAAACGTAGAACTTGAAAGAGAAGCGTCTTCCTACGTATACTACGTATACATCCTAGCTAGAATCGGTCACTAGCCTTCACACCATTAGATTACCTTCAGACCCATATAGATATCTAGTACATGCCATATTTACAACATTTTAACGCCAATCTTTTATAACTTTTCCGTATTTTTCATAAATTTTCCTCGTATGATTTCAGTTGCAGTTTGTCTCAAGAGAAGAGCTTACGATTACCGTTAGTTCTAAGATTATTCTCACATTGAATTTCGCAGCACGCTTATGCATGAATACAAGCAATTGCGGTCTTACGTACTCTAATGGTCGTATGAGCTTAAAATATCGTAATTACCGTAATGATTGATTGTAGATCTAAGTATTAGAATTAGACTTTACGATACATTATATACATAATAAATTGAGCAACGTCAATGAAAGCTGAAATGACCAAAAAGTCTAATTACTTCTGAACGCGAGGACAATTCTAAGTTTAGTATCGAACTAAGTATAGGACTATTATAACAGATTCAGGTACGTTATACCAAAACGAGTATGCACACATGATTATTTGTTTGATAATAGCGTATTTCTTCATCGCTGCTTGCATGAATTTCATTACCTCTCAAGCGGGATCAATCAATTTCCTAAATTCTGTCACATTAGAATTTATCTGTGGTTTCTATTTCTGCGAAAAATTTTTCTTTCGATTATCCGAGAGATTTTCAAATCTGGCAACCAACGCGGCACTCGATCGTCACCGTTTAAGTCGCGTTCCAAATATTCCCGCTTAATCGGCTTGGAATCGGTCACGATTCCTATCACGAGTTACCGCAGTTAGCTGCTCCACTTGCTGCCTAAGGAATCGTGAAGGCTGGTATACTGACGAATAAAATAAAATAACAAAAGAAAATAAAACAAAAGAAAACAAAAGAAAATAAAAAACTAAAAGAAATAAAAAAAAACCATTCAGAAAATTATTCTCGCTTTCCAAATCTCTCTGTTTTTTTGTTCTCAGTTTTACCGAAGTACCCTTTCGTTTGCCTGCATCAGTATGATTAAGAAAATTTGTCTATTTAAATAAACCCATATGCGATTCTGAACCTTGGATGACTGATAATATAGTCATTGCAGCCACCTATTGATTGCCTGAAGCCGGCATCTCGGTCACATCATGACAAGAAAGAAACGATGCCAATCTATTATGAGAGCAAACTCGTGTTTTTCCAATAGTTACATAAGCGGCTTATCATGAAATATTATAGACTCTTTTATGAAGAAACTGAGCTCACTGCTAAATATTCACCGTGTTGCGTATAAAGAATGTCTATTGAAACAAAACCGAGCTTTTATATAAATTATACTTCTACTCGGAGAAGGAAGAACACATAAGTACTTATCGTCTTCTCAGCCACACTTTCATTAGCTTTAGTGAGCATTGAAACTTCAGTACGTCAATTGCAGTAATTGAGATAGGAATTAAAAAAGCATATTGATATTATTTTAGTCATCGAAGCGGGTATTCAGCAGTTTCAGTAATTCCATCAATTCTTTATGGTCGAAGGTATTCTTCTAACAATGAACTCATTATTAGCGCATTTTCTCATTTATGGAAAAATTCACTATTGTGCTCGACATGTCCGTCTGTCTGTCTGTCTGTCCGTCCGTCTGTCTGTCTGTCCGTCCGTCTGTCTGTCTGTCTGTCTGTCTGTCCGTCCGTCCGTGACCTCAAGTTTTCGTCGACGAGAAAATGCGCTCTATTACAGTTACTTGCATGACATGTTTCGATGCGGATATAATAATCCTCTAGCCTTCTGTGATGGATTTTTATGGATTTCTAACTGAGTACGGTATATAGTAGCAATATCTGAAAGCTGTCAGGAAGCACTGTTAGTTTGTGTGATTTATTTGTATTCAGTTTATTTCGTGCGGATTTAAAAATCTTCTGGCCTGCTATGATGGATTTTTATGGATTTCTAACTGAGCACATAGTAGCAAGGTCTGAAAGCTGTCAGGAAGAACTGTTATTTTGTGTGATCTATTTCTATTCAGTTATTTTGTGCTCGTTAACGTGTCAATGTCGTTGACACTTGATTATATTACAGGTAACGTGACAATCAGAGTGAACTCTTCTGAAACTCGCGACTTCTTTTTGGTTCATTCGAAGCTACTGACGATCAGCAGCACGACGCTGCAGGCGCTGCAGCCTGACGACTCATGGCAGGTCAGAGGCCAAACTGTTATAACTTGCATAAATCTTGTCAGACTGCATAATTTTACGAAGTAATTATATTATAAAGTTTTGGTACAATTATACCTGTGTGATCGGACAAGGGTTAAGTACACGTAACGGTCTTTGTACGTGTAGCGGCCTATGAACAAGCAGCGGCCTTAGTACACGTAGCGGCCTAAGCATAGATGGCCGATTTCTCGTCAGTGATTGGTAAGTTCAATTTGAGAATTCAGCAGTGATTGGATGACGGAGTTACGAACTCGTTACTAGTTTCGATATGTCCGAACCAGGGCAGTAGCAGCTGGGCTAGTATCCTTTTTAACTTGAGTGTGTCTCGCAATGGTGCACTGAAGTTGTACGCACATTGAAGGTAATATGAAAATTGTCATTATTTGTTATTCATGCACTCGCTGAAAAAAGCTTAAGGAGAAGATCAATATCATCTCTCATGTTATTTTTTTCAATTTAAATAGTTGCAATGACTATCGCGTGAACATCTTTAGGGGTATTGTGATTTATTATATATTTTTCCTTTAATTGCGTACGAACACAACGAATATTTTTATTCAGTCTTGATTCATTGCAGGATGTTGCGCTCCTGGACACGTTTGCTTACGAACCCAACGAGTTCTGGGTGGTACGGACGCAGGCTTCTGTGTCATTAATGAGAAGATCAATATCATTTTCTCTCATGTTATTTTTTTCAATTTCAATAGTTGCAATGACTATCGTGTGAACATCTCTAAAGGTATAGTGATTTATTATGTATTTTTCCTTTAATTTCGTACGAACACAACGAGTATTTTCAGTCTTGATTCATTGCAGGATGTTGCGCTCCTGGACACGTTTGCTTACGAACCGAACGAGTTCTGGGTGGTACGGACGCAGGCTTCTGTGTCTCCAGGAATTTTCCGACTGTCCTTAACATTTGACGGCTCCTTGACAGCCAACGGCCTCGTAGGCTTCTATGACTCGGACTACATCGATGAGGCTAACAACACAAGGTGCGGACATTGCATAATATGGTAGTCGTGAACTAATAATTTGCGTAAAAATGAACCATTTAGCGTAAAGTATAGTTAAGAATTTATATTCCATTTATATAGCTCTTAACGGCAATGGAGTGCTTAGAAATACTTATTGATAGCTGCATGCGCAATGAAATCTGTTGGAATTGTAGTTGAGTAGCATCTTGAGCACGGTCCTGGTAGGAGCCTCGATTCCGATGCATGGAATCAAGAGCTATATTTTTCTTAATTTCATCCTTGGAATGTATACGTTCATATTTTTGCTGTATACGTTTATATTTTTTAGTTCGTTGGTCAATTCATTAATTTCCACTTTAAATCGTAAAGCATCGTTTCAAAATTTCCATTGACTGCGGCTTGAACATTTTTAGTTGCTACAAAATCGGCTTGCCTGTGGATGTGACGCCAACGTAATTCGTATCTTATGTGCTAATAAGTAGAGTTACCCATTACCATCAGTATATGAAGTTACCAGCCCATTACCATCAGTATATGAAGTTACTAGCCCATTACCATCAGTATATGAAGTTACCAGCCCATTACCATCAGTATATGAAGTTACTAGCCCATTACCATCAGTATATGAAGTTACCAGCCCATTACCATCAGTATATGAAGTTACCAGCCCATTACCATCAGTATATGAAGTTACCAGCCCATTACCGTCAGTATATGAAGTATTTAACCCCTAAACACTATTAACCGCCCGATTAAATAGGGGGTTTCTAAGTTAAGTTAGTTATGTGATTTTTTTCTATTTTTATTACTGTTATTCTATCGGCAATCGCTTTAATTTCGTTAGGTTGGGTCCGCAGTGTCAATAACGGCACGTGAATAGGTTCTCGTATGAAAAGGTTTCGGCAAAATATAGTACAGAGAGGGTTGTAATGAAACACTGATACATTTCATATTAAAGTGGGAAATTCCAGTTCACATCCTACGTTAACAAAATCTCTAGTACTTGAAAAATGTAATCTGAACACAATCAACAGTCCAAAACCTATCAGTTTACATCATAAAAATCATCTAATTTTCCCGGAAAAAGCGTGTGATCCGTTGCAGTTCCTATGCGTATGACAGTTGTAAACGACCGTAGCTTGCGCTTACGTTTACGGCCGTATGTTCAGCGGCCGTGCCGCTGCTGTATTCTCGTGTCTTCTTAACAGTTGCTGCTTCTTCCTGGCCGTATTTCCCGCGCTATAGTGATGTCTCGCGGCCGGTCTAACCGTAGAATTTATGACGACCGTACTTCGGTTGATGACTGTGCCCGTCACGTTTCTTCTGATGAAAGTTGTGACCGTACTATTGTCTATTGATGACCGTACAGATGATAACTTGTGGTGTAGAGCTCGAAACTTAGATCTTCTGATGACGTGCGTTATAATCGTTGTACAACTCGTGGCCTTCTCGCGTTGTCTCACGGCTGAGTTGCAGCCGTAGTGTTGACGTTGATTTTCTTGACGTGCTCACCGGACTCGTAGCTGCCTCGATAGTCTAGGTTTCTCGCGACCGTCAATGTTCGAAAACGACAAACCACCGGCTTCACGGCCGCGGCCGTTGCGTCCGCTGATTGCAGACCTTACGTGCGTGACGGTCACCTCCGTAGGACCAACAACCCTTGGCGCCAATTTTGAGGTCCTTATATACGCTAGAGTCGCGCACAGTTAAGCCTATTCCCTCGAAGTGACGCCACATTCCTCGAATGGAATGTCCCTCGCGCTGAGCTCGCCAACGTTCAATGTAAACTAACTCCTTCTCTCACGGTCTCGAAACAACCGCGCCTTACACACTTGCTATATCGCTTCGACCCGCATTCTTAGCATTCTTAACACCTACCCGTAATACATGTTCAATATTACCTACTTTATTCACGCCACTCCTGCCACAGGCTGCTGGCGACGACAAAGTTCGAGCCGACCTACGCGCGCCAGGCCTTCCCGTGCTTTGACGAGCCGAGCTTCAAGTCAACCTTCACCGTGACTGTCGTGCGCCCTCTCCTGGAGTACATCGTGCTCTCCAACATGCCTGTCGTGGTACGTGTGTCGTGCGTGTCTGTCGTGGCACGTGTGTCGTGCCTGCCTGTCGTGGTACGTGTGTCGTGCATGCCTGTCGTGGTACGTGTGTCGTGCGTGTCTGTCGTGGCACGTGTGTCGTGCGTGTCTGTCGTGGCACGTGTGTTGTGCGTGTGTGCGTGTCTGTCGTAGCACGTGTGTCGTGCGTGTCTGTCGTGGCACTCAATTTAAATACCAATCTCTTGATATTTAACATTTTTGAGTTAATAGGCTTATCGAAAAATTTTCCTGACAACTTGAATCGGAATAAATTTGTAATGCTTACCTGGATTAAAGTTAGATGTCCTCTGACGAGTGAAGCTAACGTTAAATATTCCCCAGAATGAAGCGGTCAACCAGCCCGCTGAAGGTCTCGCTGAAGTGACGTTTCAAGAGTCCGTGCCCATGGTAACGTATCTCGTATGCTTCATCGTCTGCGACTTCATTTACATCGGCGTGAGTCTGACACGAATTTCGTTGTCTTACATTCCAAAATTTTTTGTTCATTCAAGATCTTGAACATTCAATTTGGCGGCACTGAGAACCGGCCTGATTTTAGTTTCTCTGCAATAATATTGTCGTCCGGGTGCTCCTACTGAACCAAAATCTTGAAACTTCTAAAAATTTAAAATTTTGATCAAAAAGGTCATTCTTGCGTTCTAAAACGTATCTGAAAACCTCGCCTTCTTGTAAGTATACGTAAATTTATTACCTATTAAAATTTTTATTAAAAAGGCCATTCTTGTGTTCAAAAACGTATCTGAAAACCTTCACTTCTTGCAAGTATACGTATCTTTATTACATATTAAAATTTTTATCAAAAAAGTCATTCTTGCGTTCTAAAACGTACCTGGAAACCTCGCCTTCTTGTAATTATACGTAGGTTTATTACCTATTCTGTCTCACTCTGCGTTCCAATCTCAAGTTCCTTTGCTCTGCGTACAGGAAACCTTGCCCAGCGGGATGGACTTCCGCGTCTACGCCCCCCGAGCGCGCGTAGACAACACGGAGTACGCACTGCGTCAGGGCGCCCAGATACTGCAGTACTACGAGAAGATGTTCGACCTGCCCTTCCCTCTACCAAAAAGCGGTGAGAAATATCCCGTTTAAAAAAAAAAAACATATATTATCGGATTTTCGAGCTACCGTTCTCCTGACAAAAAACGGTAAGAAATGCTCCAATTAAAGGCGGTGAGAAATGCCCCGTTCAAAAAAAAACAAATATTGTATGATACGTTCGAGCTACCGTTTCCCTGACAAAAAACGGTAAGAAATACTCCATTAAAAAAAATATAATATATATATATATATTGCTTGTTTTTTCTAATGCGAGATCTTCGACCTGTCGTTCCCCTTTACCAAAAAGCGGTGAGAAATGCCCCGTTTAAAAAGGCAAATATTGTAGTATGTTCGTGCTACCGTTCCCCTGCTGAAAAGCGGTAAACACCCTGATTTCTCTGCGAACCAATTTCATCAAGGTAATTTTGAACATTTTAATGTACTTAATTGTACTGAAAGTTCTTGCTCACTGTCAGTTTTTACTTATCTCTTTACCATTTCCCGGAATAATTACCAGTACTTTATAATGAGTCGCTTAAGCTCAACCATTCATCCACGCAATCTTGATAAGAAATTTTCTCTTTCACCAATGATTTAAATAATATGCGTTTTTTAAACGCATACGGTATTATTTAAATCATTGGTTTAAAAATTACTTATTAAAGACAACACTTCTAAAGAGGCCAGTGTCTCTGATGTCACTAATGTACAATGAATTTATTTTATTATTTTTAAATATATAAAAAATATTTATACATTTTTTTGCATAACATTTTTTTTAATTCTTTATTCTGTCAATTGATTCATGCTTTGTCTCCGACTTTACGCGAGTGTGCAAAATTTCAGATCGATTGTACAGTAAGAAGTGTGAAATACTATCTATTATAAGATTTGTAGCAGACAAACAACAATAAGTGAAGTTAAAGAGAAGTCTTGTAAAATGTGAAGTTAAAGAGAAGTCTTGTAAAAAGTGAAGCTAAAGAGAAGGGTCGTAAAAACAATCGTTTGTATAACCTCAACCCCACCACCAGACATGGCGGCCATCCCCGACTACGTGTCTGGGGCCACAGAGCACTGGGGCATCATCACCTACAGGGAGACTAGCATCTTCTACAACCCCACCAAGAGTTCCGAGACCAACAAGCAGCGAGTCTGCTCTGTCGTAGCGCATGAACTGGCGCACCAGTGGTTTGGCAACCTCGGTGTGTTGTGTTTGATGTTTATACCGGATAACATGGTGCTTAAATGTGTCTTGGAATATAAAGAGAATCATTATTAGCGCATTTTCTCATTTATGGAAAAAGGCGCTATTGTGCTCGCCATGTCCGTCTGTCTGTCCGTCCGTGACTTCACGTTTTCGTTGACGAGAAAATGCGCGCTCTGTCACTCACTGCAGTTAGTACTGAGTTATATTTTATTTTATGTTTATACGGGATAAGATGGTGCTTAAATGAGTCTTGGAATTTTAACAGAATCATTTTTTTTATAAGTGAAGAAACCAGCAAAAAAAAATAATTTTTTTTAATAATCATTTTTAATCATTTATAATCACAATAATCATTTTATAAAATGATTGTTAACCATTTAGAATAATCATTTTTTATAAGTTAAGAAAACATTTAGATAAGTCGCCGTTTATATTGAGAGAAAACGTTTCGGAGTCCAGCTCCATCGGCTGTTCAAAAACCTAGAACACAAGTACAAACAATTTGTAAAGTAGAAGGTGAATTTTTCTGCTCATGTTTTCTTCATTCTTATTTGTGTTTATTTGACGATTTAGGTTTTAATATCTTCAGTCTGAATTTTAGTTTACTAATTATTTATAGGGTACTTCTTGTGTTCTAGGTTTTTGAGCTCCAAAACCTTTTCTCTCTTTAGAAATGGTGAATTTTTTGGCTATTCTCTTTGTATTTAATTCTTGATAAATTTGCGATTTAAGCAATCAAGTGATCTTAATACTTGAGTGTATAATCTATTGTTAATTCAGTGAAACAAAATTATTCTAGACTCCAATAGAGCCCACTTAAAAGTTTTACTCCTTAGTAAAGCTTTAGGGTTGCATTTAGTACTTTTTATCTTTTTATAAAGAGCAAATGGGGCAGGGTGGCCCAGTGGTTAAAGTTCAGAGTACCAAGATTGGCGCGGGTTCGATCCCAGCTCTGGGCGTCAGTTTCTGGTCAGAATCGGCAAGGAGGCCGGGCGGTTAAGCACAGCAGAATTGTAGCAGTGAGTTGCGAGTTCGAGACCGCAAAATGCTGTGAA